TACTTTCTCTGGGTTTGTCTCAATTCCTCTACTGTTGACTATAAACTTTAAAATTTTTCGACTGAGACCCCAAAGGCATATTTGGCGGAGTTGAGCTTCATCTGATATTCCTTGAGGACCTGGAAAGATTCTTCACCAGCATGTCATTGATGTATACCTCCATTGATGTTCTGATTTATTTTTGGAACATTCGATTTACCAAATGCTGGTAAGTAGCTCTAGTGTTCTTCAGTCTAAAAGGCATGACCTGATAGCAGTATGTCCCTTACTTAGTTATGAAGGAGGTCTTCTCCTAGTCACTAGAGTCCATTCTGATTTGGTTATATCCAGAAAAAGTATCCATAAAGTTAAGGAGCTCATGTCCAGTTGTGGCATCCATAATCAGGTCAATCTGAGATAAAGGGAAGCCGATGTACAGTTGCCATTGGAATTCCTGACGAAGACCAAGTTTGTTAGCCAGGTTGGATAGTCCACCTCTCTGATGGTTTTGGCGTAAAGATGCTTCCTGACCTCCTCATTGATCACTTTTTGGCGTTCTAGGGTAAAATTCCTTTGTTTCTGTTTGATGAGCTTGAAGGTCGGATTCACGTTGAGATTGTAAGTGATGACTGAGGGGTTAATTCCTTGCATATCTTCTTGTTTCCAGGCAAACACCTCCACATTCCTTTTAAGGAATTGAATCAGGAGGTCTTTAACTTCCCTGTTTAGCTTAGATCCCACGTATACCAGGTGTTCTGGTCCCTTGTCAAGTTGAATAGGCTCCAGCTCTTCTAAGGGCATTGGCTTGGTCTCTAGCTTGTCTCTTATGTCTAGCTTGTCTAATTGGATGTTTTCGACTTCTTTCTTCTTCATTGATGCCATATAGCATTCTCTAGCTATACACTAGTCTCCTTGGACCATTCCCACACCATTTTCCATGGGGAACTTCATGACAAGTTGGTATGCTGATGGAATGGCCCTTAGAGCATTGAGGGAGGGTCTTCCTAGCAAGACGTTGTATGCCGAGGGAACATCCACTATTGGGAACTTCATAGTGGTAGTAGATTGGCAAGGATGATCTCCTATAGTGAGCACGAGTTAGATTGAAACCAGATGTATCACCCTTTCCCTTGAGAATCTCAATAAGTGAGTTCTTACTGACTCAAGTTTGTCTCTGCTTATATTCATCTTGTCAAAGACAAATGCGAAGACGATGTTAGTAGAGCTCCCATTGTCAATCAGGACTCGATGGATGATTTTGTTGGCAATGATGGCCCTTACTACCAAGGGGTCATCGTGGGGATATTGGTAGCTCTCCAGGTCTGTATTCGATAAAGTTAAGTCCATGTTCAGTCGAGGTGCTTTGGACACAATGTATACTTCCGATATCTCCTCAGTTCTGACTTTGTGCATGTGAGCCTTCCTGGTTGAGCTGGACTCCCCGTCTCCAACGAATCCTTCAGATATTACTCTGATCTCTCCCAGAGGTTGTTGATGTTGTGCAGGGACTTGCTACTGAGGTACTGGAGGTGGTTGAGCTCAGTTATGATTATCTTGCTTCACAAAGTGGCGCAATTGTCCCCGTTGGATTAAGAACTCGATCTCCTTCAATTGGATACAGTCATCAGTGAGATGGTCGTGATCCCTGTGGTATTCGTAGTATTTTGTTACGTCCCTTTTCACAGGATCTGCCTTTATTTGAGGTGGGCACCTTAGGAATTTTTCGTTTTGTATCTCATAAAGGACCTAAGATACTGTGGTTGTGAGGGGAGTGTACTGCCAAGGTGCAAATCTTGGCTGCAGTTCTTGTGGTGGTGGACTAAGGCGGTCTTTGGTGTCTCCTCTCCTTTTCGGAGAGTGGTCCCTGTTTCTTCGTAGAGATCTATCTCTACTTCTTTTTTTCTGGGACTTTAGTCTCTCTTTTTCTCCTTCTCCTTCTCCTTTTGCGTGGACGTGCTCCCTACCTTGGAGAGGAGTGCTTCCTTGTAGTTGATGTACTTTTATGCCTTGGCAAGGATTTCTATCATACTGGCTTACAGATTTTTGGAGATAGATAACATTAGGTCCTTTGACTAGATTCCTAACCCAATAATAAAGGCAGTGATGATGAATTTCTCGTCAGAGACATCCATTTTCAGGGATTCTGAGTTGAAATTTTGAACATAGCTCTGCAGGCTTTTATGGGGTATATGTTTTTAATTCAACAGGTGATAACTCAATTTTCGATAAGTCCAAACTCCTATGAAGTGAGATACAAAGAAGACAGAGAGCTCTCTGAAGGAACATTTCAAAGTGATGGCAAAGGCTCGAAATTGTATTGAGTTCTGGTACCCATGTAGCTCAATTTGATTCTTGTAGGTGTTGAGGTGATCCATGAAATCTTTTGTTCCATTGAAGGCCTCTATCTGGGGGCATTCTGAATTTAGGTGGAAGTGAAAAGTGCAGCACCTGTGAGGTAAATGGGGACTCAGTCTGTTGAACTAAGGCATGCATAGTCACCAGAGTTTTGCTTTTAACAACCTTCTTCATGTGGCTGAGTTCCTGTTAAATGTCTTTGAATTGTTGTTCCCAATATTGTTCTTTCCTTTCCTGTTGAAACAAAGAAAATTCATTATTACGAGCTTTCTTGTTTTGACTTTTCACTTTCTTGTCATCCTCATTCCTACGAATTCGACGATGAGCATTGCCCATAGTTTGGCTGCGCTCATCTCCCTCGTGATATCTTTTAGAGGGTTGTTGTGCTGTCGTTCCCTCTAAGGGGGATTGTCTAGGGTTGACTGCACTCTTTGTGGATGCTGAAGGATATTCAACAACTCCTCATTCTGCTGGAGGAGACGTTGATTGGCTAGGTGAAGGGCCTCTAATTTGTTGTTAGGTGCGGGATTCGTTCCCACTGATGGTACCTACTAATGATGTTAATAATACGACTGGACAGAGGTATGAATATAAGGTGCACTGAACAATTCAGTCCGAGCTCCAAGGCTCTAAGGAGTAGGGTTTTTTTGGGATTAATGGATGATTACGCACAGTAGTTATAGTGGTTCACCAACTTTAAGAGATCGACTAATCCACTCTTAAGAGTGTCTCTTGCTCCTGAATCTATTAATAACTGTGTGCGGTTTATAAAGAGTAGATTGTAAGACTACAATGGCTATCTGCCCCACTCTCGATGGGCCTTGCCTCCTATTTATAGTTATTCTTGGGCTTTGCTTGATCTGGGGCGAGATTCTCGCCCTTCCCTTGTAACGGTTGCCCCTCATTGCGCAACGAGACTTGTGCCTGTTGGGTAATTGATGCCAAGAAAGAAGGACTTGGTGGGATCCAACCATCCTTTGCACAAACCTCCTCGAGATATTGACGCGGGGAGTTGAGGTCTGAAATCGAGGTCTACGAGTAATATTAATGAGCTGAGCTCCCGAACTGGGTAGCACGACTTGGGTTACTGAGCTCACCCTTAGATATTTTGTGGTACCATCAATTCTAAAAATAATTTTACGGAATAGAAATAGTAAAATTTATTTGAATAGTAACTTAGAAAAAAATAAAAACAGAAAATATGGTGATTGTGGAAGTGTTGTGGTGGTGGTGGTGGTAGAAGTGTGGTGGTGGTGTTTTCTAAATTTTGCAAAAGTTATTTTCTAAATTTTGAAAAATTATTTTCAAAAAACACACATGACAGTTATAATTTTTTTTCTCTAAATTTACTAATTTTTTAATCTCATTTTAAAAAATAAAAATAAAATTCTCTCAAAAACTGTTTCTAAAGATAGAAAAATAATTTTTAAAATACAAACCAAATAGACTTATAATTTTGAATGAACTCTTTATTAGAATTAAAAAGAGGAAAATAGTAATTTACTCAAAAAAAAAAAAAAGGTCACATAAAAAAAATGAAAGATGACCAACTGCAGTGTGTTCAAAGAACAAGAACCATCATTGCACACGTGTTGAAGTTAACCGACGTTATTTTAAAAAAAAGTTAATCGACGTCATTTCATGGGAAAAAGATGTTTCGAGGAATAACTACAACAGAGAATCTATTTTCGTGCTCTAGCTTTCGGCACGAGTATAATTTGAGTTGGGAAATTGGATTTTAACTAGAACTTAATTTGAAAAAATTAAGACTTGGGTAAAAATTTTTAATACTTGGGTTGGTTTTAAAAAATTTTTAATTTGTGTTGGGCTCGAGTTAACGCCTCGTGAGCCCGAGTTCAACCCGAACCCGACAAATTAAAAAAATTATATATATATATAGGATTAGCACTAGTTTTTTATTTTTGTTCTATCGTTCTCTATTTCTCTCGTTCTCTTTGCCTCTCTTGTTAAAAACTTGGTTAAAGTTATTGATTGTTAATATAGGTGAATATTATGTAATATATATATTAGGTTTAGAACAACAAGCCTATTTTGAGTTCTACCCGAATTGAACCTAAAGTAATTCGAAATCATCAACCCAAATTCAACTCGAACCCGCCCGAATTAAACTTGGGTAGTGCTCGGGTTGAGTTCTCCAATCCGAGGTAGGGTTAGAGTTAAGATTATGATTAGAATTAGAGTTGAAGATTATATACTTAGAATTGAACTAGGATTGATTGTCCAACCCGTCCAATCCGCCCGAGTTGCACCCCTAACTTTCGGACATTTGAACAAATACCGAATTTATTTACTTTGTTGTCCATACAAGATCCAACACCAATATATATATATACATAAAAGAATTTTTAAAAAGGGGACAAAAAAAGAATTCGAAAGATTGACGTAAAAGTAGTGAGCAAAATTTGATTTTAAATTTGTTAAAAGGAAAATAAAAATACCAATATATTAGAGTCACATAATCTATTCATCGTTTTTTAACTTTTTTTGCATAAATCTAGCTTAGTCCATTAAATAATGATGTTGGTCATTCTAAATGGTGTAATTTAGGCCAGGGTAATGCAAGATACAGCCATTGCTAGTCAGATGCGTACTTTCGTAGAAAAGTTATGTGCGTCAACAATTGAAAAATATAAAAGTCAACAAAATTATAATTTCTCAACATTTCTTACCATTTTGGCCATGTCCATGAGGCAAGATCCAAGAAGATCAATCTCTGACTCGGTTGTAGTTTCAGAAGAGTTCATAACATTAGGGACAGTAGGAATCAGAAGAGCCATCAGCCCTCCGACCACAAGTTCTTCTGCCCTTGCATTCAAGAATGTCTCCAAATCTTTGGCAAATTGAGCTGTATAAGCCTCATAAACTTCTTTTCTACCCCCTGTATAGTGAATCCTTCCCTTATTCCATGCCGGAGACTTACTGTCCAGAATCTCCTCCGGCAAATCAGAGATCCAAGACAGTGAAGAAGATGAGAAAGCAAAGTGAAGGGAGGCCGTTGGGAATAACCGGTCGTAGAAAGAGCCGGCTACTCCGGCAGCATGGTATCGTCTTTTCGGTGGGAGAGATTGAAAAAGGGTGTTGAAATCATTCAAAACCTGGTCACTGAAGAACACCTGAAATTCTGGGATGAGTTGGGTTGTTGGTTTTTCTGATTTGAATTTTTGCTCCACTACTTCAAGTATGATCTGCATTGCTAGAAGCGTATTGGGTCCTGTGGAACAACCAAAATCTGCTATGCGAAATGGGTTTATGGTGGAAGATGAAGAAAGTAGTTTCAGGTCAAGTTTGGATGCAACTCCTTCCTTGATGAGTTCCTTTGCAGCATCCACGGCTCCCCTCTGAAAAAATAAAATTAGGTCCATAATAGTCAGATTCACTAAATAATTTTACAAGTGTCAATTAAATTTTATCTTATCATCTCTGGAGCTGACTTAAAACCTCCGTTTTTTTGGGCTCAAGAGGAAAAGATGTGTGATGTTTGAAACTGAGGCCTCCATCGGTTTTTTTGGTCAAAAATAGCTTTTAACACCACTAAAGAAAAACTAAAAAAATTAGGCTTATCCAACGATTTTCAAAGAAGAGTCGACTTTTTCATAAATACTTCAAACGGTTCAAAGAATTTTTTTAATTATAAAATTTTCATTTCAATTTTCAAGTCTCTATTTTGCACCCAAAAAAGTCAGTTCCAAACAAGTCCAATAAATTTGTTTTAAAAAAAAAAAGGTCCAATGTATTTGGTTATCGGCAATATTTATGTAATTAAAATATTATTAAATTCTAAAAGTAAATAAAAATAGTAGATTTAGAAATAAAAAAAAATACAAAAACAATTATTTTCCTCCAAACATGCTAGTTAAATGAGTTATTTGTGTCTAATATTAACATGATTCATTTAATATTCTTGTTAATCAATTATATTAATTTCAAAATAAGGTCAAATTTTTTGCTTAAAATTTATCTTGTCGAGTTCGTATACTGTTCGTGCTAATAAATAACATTTGTAGCCCTTAAAAAATATTATCTCATCACATCTATCCTTCTAACCTCAAGTGTGTCCATTTAAAGAGAGAAAGACACTGAGTTTAAGTCTTCACTGAACCATCCCATAAAGTCTATCCTGATCGTTAGGAGGCATACATTAAGTGCTATCACTTGTGGTGGATATCTAGTTGTATTGGACCGAATATGTTACGTTTCGATACGATAATATTCGGTCTAAATTATGGGTTGAGTGAGATTCGTGCTTGACTCAGGACGTTGTAGATGGCTGAGTCATCCATGTCATCGTGACTCATTCGGATGCAGTTTTGTGATTTTTAAATTTCATTCTATGCCCAATATTTTATTCTGTCAATTTTTTTGTCCCGGTTGCCTCATACCATACAGCTGCAACTTATTAGTTACCTAGCGACCCCATGCAAACTTGCACTCCCTATCCCATCCCACCCCACCCTCTCGGATGAGAGATAATTATGGTGAAAATTAAAATAGAAAACGAATATTACCTGGTAAGATGAGTTTTGAGCATAACTATAATTTCCATCTCCTCCATTCATGGCATACGATTTAGGCAATTTGATTGTTCTTTCATCTTCCACGCATGGTTTAAGGTCTTGATCGATATTGATATTGACACGAATGGGTCGTCCTAGTGATGTATTGGCGTGTGGAGATAGAAGATCACGCCACTGTACACTAATCACATGATGTGGGTGGCGCGATCTCGATTGTCTTGGCCCATGTAACATGGTATAGCGAGCAATGCCGTGTTCCCCCACCGGATATGGCAAGACATGGCGGCCGATGGCAAGAGAAGAAGGAGGGAGAGAAGAAAAGTAAGAAATGGAAGCAAAAGAGTACATGTTTTTAATGGTTTAATCAAGGAGAGGGACAGTAGCCTGGAATGGTGCTTCAAGCTGTGTTGGAGTTAAGGCAACCACCTTGCTCTATAAATAAGTGTGTTTCAACTCAAAAAACTATTCTGTTAACAAAAAAAAAAAAAACTCAAAAAACTATCTAATCAACAGACAAAATTTTTTTTTTAAAAAAAAACTCTCAATCCAGAGTCCATAGGGCCCGCCACTGACTTTCTCAAGTGGGTCTATACTTGATGAGGATTGATTTATTCTTTATCTAGCCGATTCTATTGTTTAATGCGGTGATTGGTCAAATTATTATTTTTTAAATTTCTTACTGCAAATTAACGTGGATTGTTAAATTTATTGTTGTTCTAAAATCTATTGAGATTTACGAAAATATCTCCATTGACGGATAATTTTCTTATGTCCAAACAATTAGCCAGTTCTTTTTACAACTAATAGAGATCCGACACTTATAGTTGTGCCACATCATTTGTTGCAAAGATTTTGGGTGCACATTGCATTTTTAGTATTCGACCTATTTGAATTTCACACGCCTCTTTGGATGTTTTTGTACTTTTTATAGTGTGTGTAAGGGATAAAAATCGCTACGAGGGGGGAGACGACTTTCTTCTGATGTGGGACAAGCTTCTGTGGGCGAAGAGAAGTAAAGGCTATTAGGGCTCGGTGCCGTCAGGTCAACCGGAATCCTTCGAGTAGAGGGCTGAAATCCGTAGCGATTTTTACCCCTTACAGTGTGTATTGATTGTAATCTTGTTCTTGTACGGGTTATTATTCATTGAGTTATTGCTATTTGGATCTAAATATTTGATTTGAATTTTGAATACAATAGAACGTCAGTTGACATGGTTTAATAATAAAATTTGTAGTTTTTGTTGTTGGAATTTTTCTAGCATTCGACCTATTTGAATTTTTATAGTTATTGTAGTTATTCTATTCGGATCTTCATTTGTTTGTAGTATAAATTAAACTGCAGAGTTTGACCCTCCCTGAACTTACAGTGACGGGAATTTTGTGCAAGGGAGGCTTTTTTTTTTACTTACAATTGGATACTAACAGAATCTTCAATAATTATGAAGTTCTAAAATTGTCAAGGAAGGCCATGTATTGTATTAACAAAAACAACTTGCTTGTATACAAAATGAGCTTTGAAAACCAGATGGAGGTGACCGACTGGGCTTTAGTCACCCAAGGGAGGGTTGATGACGTCAATTTTAAGTTTGAATGAACGGGTTGATGATGTCAATTTTGAATTTGATTAATTAAACTAAATATAAGATATTTATATTTTTTGTTTCCGTGTTAGGTCATTTTTAAGTTTGTCACGTTATAATCAAGTTCGTGTCATAAAATTCTTGTCGAGTTTGAGTCGTGTTATATTGTTGAATCAAAAATTTTTGCCTCTAGTTAAGATGAAAAAATATTTTCTTAATAAAACAGGAGTGTGTTTGAATTTTATCCTAATCATATTTTTTTTCTCAAAACTATCACCAATCACTTACCCCTCATCCATCATCCCTTTGTCAGACTCAATCGTCAAATTGTATCACTTATTTCTATCACATATTTAATCATTTATATATTTCCTTCCTAAAAATATCACATAACTCATTTCTATTACATATTTAATATTTAATTAATTTATAGTTAATATATTTTGAAAAAATTTAATATAATGCGATCGATTTTTTGGACGCTCGAATTTTATATTTTATCGTGCCTTCAGACATGGGTTATGACTAATATATATATATATATATATATATATATATATATATATATATATTGTATTTTTATATGAAATTAATGTATACATAATATATGTATTTATTAAAAAATATATAGACAAATAAGATATATCTCAACACAAATAATTAACTTTATATTCACATTCCTTCTGATTTTAGAGGGATTGATTTTAATGAGTTGAAAAGAAAGTTAATCCATCCATTTTTCTAACCTTTCTATTTTTATCCCTTAACTTTCCATCATTTCATCATGCCAAACGGAGCATTAAAAATTGAAAATATTTTGAATCTTTAAATTCCAATAATTTTCCTTCTTATAATTGAGAAAAATTGAGGGAGAACATACAAAATGCGAGCTCAGTTCAATATTTTCTAAGTAACTCTTATAGTTATAATAGCTTGTCGGTACAATTCTTTTTAACATCTTGACTATCTCTTACAATAAAACAAACATCTCTTTGCATGTAAGAGTAGAGTTGCACACATCTAACTTTTTTGTGATTCTGCAATAATGAGAGTCTCATGCTTGATTCTGCAATAAGTGTCGGTCTTAATATTTACTTATATATATATATATATTAAAGGTTAAGTTACACATTTTAAAGGTGAAGTTACAACCGGTCAGAGGTGTTCATAATCGATTGCAATATTTCATAATTGATCATCAAAAATTACATCAATTAATTATAATTTAATCTTTAATATGTATAATTTGATCTCATAGAGTAGCAACTTACGATATGGTACCGATTTTTTTTTATCGGTACCATAATCTTTCCCATCAGATCATATTTAAATTCATGATAAATGAATCTAAGATAAAGTCTATGGTACCAATTTTTTTTCTTCTGGGTTTCATTAGCAAAATACAGCTTTTTGGGGGCCTGTGGCGTTTGAGATCGATCTTATTTTATTTTTGTAACTAGATCTAAAATTTAGCATATTGAACCTAACAAATTATAAATTTAGGAACCATATCATTTTTTTTTTTTGGTACTGAAATTCAAACCTATTAATTCGACATAAACAATTATAACATTAACACGATTTTTAAATACACATAATAAATAGTCTAGACTAATATTTAATAATCAAAAGACATTAAATAATTTTTATTTTTTTTTATAAATTTTAATACGAATACGACACAAATAACAATGATACGACATGAATAACATAACATACGGATTATACAAATACGACATGATTGACGCCAAGACAGGGAAAGGGCAGCTGAGGGGAGGAATTTTGGGTAGGGTCATATGATCCCCCTTGCACATGGTGTAGGTTGTCGACAACCAAAATATTGTCGACACTCGAGAAGCACAATAATGTTGAGAATGACACGCTTACCTTCAATTATTAGCTACTGGATGATACTAAAAATCAATCTTTACGAGCTGTAGATTTCGTTTTGATTTATTTATGATTGATTGTGAAAATAATAAAATAAAAAAAAACAAAAATATAGAAATTCTTTACGTGTCTTATTTGCTATTGGCAGAAAATACTTGGACCACTCGTTTCATGCATAACAAGTATAGGGTCCATCTCTTTTATTCAATCAGTGAGAATTTTTTTTTTTTTTTTCAATCAGTGAGAATGTTGTACTTGTAATTTTATTTTATTTTATTAGTACATTATACACTAAGGGCTCGTTTGATTGCATATTAAAAATAGATAAATTGGTTAAAATAATCCAATCTTAATACAATACAGAAGGACAAGAGAGAAGATTAAATAGAGAATTTAAATAATACGTAATTTTATTTAATATTTGACAATACACAATATAAATATTGGATAATTTTTATTTAATATAATCGGTTGTTTGATTAGGAAATTATTTCATAGTATTAATGTTGAATTGACAAAAATACCCTCAATCAATATTTGTTAAATTGACGACAACTTGATTTTATCATTTGAGGATTATAATAGTAAATATGTAGAATAATAAGTTTGAGTTGGATTATAATACTATCTCTCTTGGTGATATTAAAATACCTCCATAATATAAGTTTATCGCATAAAAAATATACGATTAGTATACGTTTTTGAAATTAATACGGTATCAAATTTATTTATCAAATAAAATATTAGGCCCAATTAATTAAAAAATAATACAATCCAATATTTAGTTTCTCATAATACGTCTATCAACGAGTCCTAAAAGATGAATGACTAAGATGAATCAACAAAAATTCTACTATACTTCTATTATTAGGCTTTGTTTGTTTCTCTACGATCACTTCTGTAGAGAAAGTGATATCCATTGTTTTGTTAGGAATCACTTCTGTAGTATGTACATCTCTGTCTTTTTATTTTGATCAATATAAAAATTGTACTTTCCGAGACAAAGAAAAATATATTATAAATTTAAATAAGGCTCGATGTATATAAGTCTACACCTCTTAGTAGTACTTCATCGATTATCTATGAAAGAAAAAAATGAAGAAAAAAAACCATTAGTGGAATCTAAATCCGGTATTTCTAGAATTCTTCTTCTTTCACAATCCTGGCCACTTTGCTCCTTCTCTCTGTCTCTCTCAACAGATTTGTGAAAAGAATTGTGAAAAGAACGTAAATATGTTTTGTTTGACTCTCTCTTATTACACAATACCAGCACTACACACAAGTATTTCCCTTATATCAGCCACTGTCATGTGACTGCATTGGATTCAGTTGCTGAAGCCACTTGCCTACAAGACAGTCTGTTAGTTAGTTAGTCCTAGCTGGCATTGTAACTAAGATTGGCTATAAATACTTGTATACTGAACTAAAAATATGTATGAAAAATATTTGTTTCTCTTAGTTTCTCTGTGTGCCTCTGTCTTCTTCTCCAAGCTTTCTATGAAATCTATCATGGTATCAGAGTGATCTTCAAAGACAAACGTCTGATCTGATGGCAACTTCTACTAATTCTTCTTCATGTTCTACCTGTTCATCTACACCTTCAACTACAGTTTCTTTTTCCTCACATTCACCTATCTACTTACTCTCCAATATCTGCAATCTTATTTCTCTTCGGCTTGATTCTTCCAATTACGTCTCTTGGAAATTTCAGATCTCAGCTTTGTTACGAGCTCATTCTTTATTCGATTTTTTGATGGATCATTTCCTTGTCCATCTAAATATATACTTGATGAGGCTGGAGCTGTTACTACAGAGATCAATCCACAATATCAGTAGTGGATTATTCAAGATCAAGCTCTTACGACGCTTGTTAATGCC